GAATGATAATTTTTTATCGATTGAATCAATTATTTTTTAATTTTTTAATTTTTGTTGTGTTTTTTTCTTATTGAATTGGCGGTCGAAACACGTAGAAAAGAGACTTTTGACGGTCCAAATCTGACTTCTTCCTCGGCCCGCCATCGAAAATGGTCTGTCCACATCTACCAAAATCAACAGCGACCATTTCCGTTTATTTTACTCCATCTTTCAATTTTTGACTTTTCAATGCTCATAAGTCACGGATGATCATTAAACCTTTTTCCTTATATTATTCTCTGTCTCAATTTCCTATTCCAAAATTACGTCTGTTTGTGTCATGATTTTCTTCTTTGAATAATATTGGAAGAAACGTCAGCAAGTAATCCAATAATTACATATAAACAATTTATAATTCTGATCACATCTATGTGAATCATAGATATGAGAGCCAATAGTTGTGCAATTTGTTCGATAAAATATTAAATTTTTAAATTTTTTATAAAAAATTAAAAAAAATGAAAAAATTTATTAATCTAATTATTAAGTTATAAAATAAAAATATTATAAATTTTAATAGTTAGATTAATAAATTTTTTATTCTCATCTTTTTTCATCTACTAAGCAGTTACTTAATTTTATAAATTCAAATTCTGAAAATCTCAAGTATGAAAAAAATTATAAATTTGAGATTTTCGTGGAATATTAAAGCTAAATGAAGATGATAAATCTACATATTTTTCATAAAAAAATGGAGGTTTTGTTGGTGCAGGCAATTCCATATCTTTATGTGATGGCATTTGCAGTACTTTTGTCATGCTAGACCAAGTTGAATTTCTGTCTTTATTTCTTCTTCAACATCTTCAGAACCCAAGCTTTCACCTATAATTTTTTATTTTGTGTTTTATTAGAAGTGCTTCCATGGCTGATAAAGGAAATATACCAGGAAACAGATGAATAAATTTGTAAGCAAATTTGTGGGATTTTTACATCAGTCACCAATGTTTCGAAATAATTATCTGATTCTATTTTTGTGTTGTTCACTCCACTGATTGTTTCAAGCACCACAACCCCAAAGCTATGAACATCTACTTTTCTCTTTCCCTTGGTAATGTATTCCGGAGCCATGTTATCCACTACGAAGGCAATAAATCACGCAGAAAATTTTAATTAGTTGTGCTAAATACTGTTTTGATATCTAATTTATGATAGAATCAAAGAGAATACAAACACTAGTTATGTTGGTCCAACTCTCCAAATATATGAAAAACTCGAAAAAAAAAATGAATATATCCGTGTTGGATACATACTTGACACACACCGTTAAGTTTGAAGTAACATGTGATATTGGAGATGGAACACAAAGAAAGCTAATATAACACTGAATTTTCAAGCATTTTTTAGTTCTTCAAGCCAGAAGAGATCATTACTAGACATTTTTTTTTTTGCAACACAAAAAAGGGAAGGGAAGACGACAGCCATTTGCTAAGTAGCCTAAACTGAATCTAAATCAAATGTGTTGGTGCAACTCTGGAATCATTAGATGAAAGGCTAATTCTTAGAAGAGAACAGACTTGAAAGACAACCTTAATTCTCTTTAGAATCTTGTCTGGCAGGAAATTCAAGAGATTATTCAACTATCAAGACAGTCACTAGATAAGAAGACATGGAATGGTACTTAATACCGTAGATTTCTAACTAGAACATGAAGTGTTAAAGGCTTGAAATGTCACAAAGAAGCGGTATGAGATTATGAACAATGGAGTAGTACTTACAATGAGCTGGCGACAGAATTGTTAAAGGAATTCCTGTTACACTTTCCATAACATAACCTTGACAGGCCAAAATCAGCAATATTTGTCTGAATTTCGGTCTTAATAAGATGTTACTTGCCTTGATGTCCTGCATGAATGATGTAGTATTCCAAGCCTTGAGCTTTCCTATGATTATTCTATGCCTTTCCCCCAATCTAGCTCTTTCTTCTTCTCCGGATCTTTCTTCCAGGGCCTCCAAAACAGTTTTGCATACGAAAGGGGATAAGTTGGAATTTTTTTCATTTTATAAAGTCATAGTTTACACCTTAAATACTTCACCATATCATCCAGAACCAAGCTTCTGAGCTTCATTGGAGCGATCAGTTGCTCTCTCTAAAATAGAAAACTTGAACTGCAAGAATTGCATGGTCTGGTCCATTGCAGCCATGTCCAGCTCTTTTCCTGTGTTATAACGTACAATACCAAATATAAGAAACCAATCTCTAACAGAAGAAAAGAGAGAGAGAGAGAGAGAGAGAGAGAGAGAGAGAGAGAGAGAAAACGGGCACAGTTCTTTTCAGCTTTTAACATCACCTTTCAGTTTGCTTCAAGAATTCATCTGTCTATCAGCCGTTTTTCCCAAACACAAAGAACTGCAATTGCCAATGTGCATATGAGGATGTTATAACATCTACAATGGGGAAATGAATTATATGATTAATCAGGGTTAATTTTGAGCATATTTATGAAATTATAAGGGTCTAGAAGGCCTATTTGAACCAGTTGTTTAGATCTTTGAAAATATTTGGTTCATTCTATGTTTAGGTATGAACGTAGGCTAATTGATGACATGGTGGCATGTGTACAAAAAGTACAAGGGGATATGTTTGGCCACGCAAAATTTATGATGGAGATGCCCAAAATGATCTACTTGCTCAAGGTACTGTTTAAGGCTTATTCTTCTGCATTGCCTACATGTTTGCATGGACAAGAGGTCTCTGCATCCAAGTAAAGTGGTTCACCATCTTCCATTTGGAATTTTATTTGATCAGTAGTTATTCCAAATGAACTCGTTCACATCTTTCTTCCTTCCCCGTAAGCCTTTTGCAGGCGATTTGCCAAAGTTGTACCCAATTTGTGTTATGATCCTGTTGTTCATAATAGTTTAAATCAGATCGGATTCGATTTAATTTTTTAAGATAGTATAAATATTATGAATTTTTAAAATCTAATCCAAATTTGAACTGATTTTTTTTTTTAAAATTTGATTTTAATCGAATTCTAATGATTTAGTTCATCGATTTTTAAGATTTATTTTTTATATTATTTTAATAAAATTTTAAATAGATTTATATAAAAAATAATTATTTTTATTTTATAAAAATCTAAAATATATATAAAAATTAATAAAAATATATAATTTGGGTTTTTTTTTTTGTTTTTCATATCCTAATCTAAATTCGATATGAATTTAATAGATACATTTAATATTCAAATTTAATCCAAATCAAATAAAAAAAACGATTCAAATCGAACCAAACATTATAAATTTTAATTGATTTTTAATTTTTAACTTTTTTCTCACCTCTATCTTCAACTAACCTTTTTTATTTTATTTGAAAAAAAGATTTTATTTGAAAAAAAGATTTTTTTGGAAAAAAAAATTAAAAGTAAATAGGTTGTTCAATCTTTCATGTTAGAGTAAGATATGTTATTCTTAACAGTTTAAGATAGATAGTTGCGGATCGTGCATTTGAGATGATCTTAACAAATAATTATCGACATGACTCGAACTTAAAATTTTTTATTAAAAAAAATAAATCTTAATTGAGTAAACCATTTATTAGTATTTGCGAAAAGAATTCGAACCTTGCTTTTGAGCCGAAAATCATTTACTCTTTACTCGTCTTTTGCCATCGGTGGTTTGCATATAAATCCGGCGAGGCTACCATCTGGATTGTGCAGTGGTGAAAGTTGAACTAGCTGGCCCATGTTGGCCCAACCATTTGATTAAACCCATAATAAATTCGACCATGCCTTTCATCTTTCGTCAGCATATTGGTGTCCATTTCATGGACCCAATAAAATAAATTCACCTGGCTTTAGAAATTTAGGATTCTATTTAGTCGAAGTTTTTGTTATTTACTTTTTCTTTAAATAAATAGTAAATGCATTGACTAATGTTTATTTAACGACAATTGGTTGGACATTTCATCTGATTTCAATATTTGACCACGACTTCAGCCCATCAACCCACCTAAGCAATGACGCTACAAATGCTAGAACTTGAACAAATCATCAGTAAGATTTTTTCTAAAAGTTTTTATTTTACTCTAATTTATTCCAAACTCCGTCCAATTCCATTCGTTACAAAAACTTATCTTAACAAAAAAGAAGATTACATCTCGAATTTGGGCAAATTTTTGGTGCCTAAACATCTTTATGTGGCTAAGCTAAATGCTTAGGAAGATTTCAACAAAGTTTAAAGGTTGCTTTCAACAAAATTTAAAAGGTTTTGTAGTAGGTTTGCCTTTATGTTAAAACTTGGGAGGTGAAGAAAAAAAGATTTTGAATCTTTTTATTAATAAAGGTGAGATATTTAGAGAGGTGGATATAAATTTTAATTTAATTGAATCATATAATTATATTTAAAATTTAACATCAAATAATTATGGGGGAGGAGATCTTTTTTATTACTTAAAAAATGGTGAAATTTTTATTACTTTATTTAAAGATAAGTAATAAACTTTTATCTAAATATAAAAAAATTTATGGATGATATTTAATAATTTGAAATTTAATAAAAATTAATTAGCAAGGTAAAAAAATTGAACAAAATCATTCATAAATTTAGATGCACATTATTTATTTATAGATAAAGTCGTGAAATTTAAGTAATGAATAGTACCGTTTACTATAAATATAGTATTTTTGGATTACGATTTTTTTATATAAAAAATTTAGAGAAAACAAAATTTATTTTTTTAATGTATATTTCAAATACTCTATTTATTTTTATGTGTATTTTAGTCATTTGGTTAATTTTTGTCAAATTTTTTTAATTTTCTAGTCATTTTAAAATTTAAATTTTCTTTTTATTCATTTTTATAAAAAAATAAAAAATCAACTAAATGGAATAATATAAAAATAATATTTGTTTATTAAATTTTTAATTAAAAAATCGGAAGATTCGAACTTAATTGAAGAGAAACATATATTAGACATTGAACTAAATACTGTTTTGATTTTTAAAATACTAATTGTCATTTTCTTAGAAGGTAAGCCTAATCTTTTCTTCTTATCTTTGTGTTTCAAGAATCTTTGAAAACCAGAACCCGATTCGTCCACTAAAATCCAAAATGTCCCACCAATAGGAATCAAGTCAACGGCCTAGATCATTTCCAAAATCATCTCCATCACTTCCCGCGATTCCCTTTCCCACCTAATCCCTCCTCTTCAAATACCACGACGCAATTTCTTCTAACGAAAAAACAAAATTTTTGGGCTGTGAAAAAAAAGGAAAGAGAGAAATGGCTTTGCCGAAGTCTAAGGAGATCGTTTCTGCGAATCCCGTCGTCGTTTTCAGGTATAGTATACGTATACGTACGTTACTAATCTTTCGTATACAGATTTGTATTTTTATACGTAATCCTTTGATGCAGCAAGACACACTGTCCGTTCTGTGTTAAGGTGAAGCAGTTGCTTCAACAACTTGGAGCCTCTTTCAAGGCCATTGAGCTCGACAATGAAAGTTAGTTTTTTTTTTTCGCATTCTCTTTTAATTTTTTCTCATTTTGAGGGAAAAAAAAAGAATATTTTCATTCCGGTACAAATTTGTAATTCCAGGCTTGAAATTTAATTTAAATGCTTAAATTTTCTTTAGTGTTGATTTGATTGCATTCTGTTTGGTATTTTGATATTAATCTCTTCTTCAAAATTAATCAGTGTTTTCAAGGCTTTGTTTGGGATGGATTATAGGGAAACTTATGTGGGAAACTTAACGATTAGATTTATTTTCATATTAAAAATTTATCAAATTGATTTTAAGGATCAAGTTGATTAAACAAGGCTGCCATTAGTAATTGGTTTCTTGAGCTTTACAAGAAATCGGGTTTTTGGAAACTTATGTGGGAAGTAATGTTGAGTTTGAGGAGCAGTTTGAAGGGTAGTAAGGAAATTTGTAGAACAGTTATCAAATTCCATGGCCCCATTGTGTTTAACAAATGGGTTTTGACTTTTGAGTCTGGCTTTGGAAGGTGCTATGATTCTGTAAGGCATGGTTGGTTTTATTTGGGTTTCTATGGTTCCAATGTTTTGGAAACTGATTTTGGAAGATGCAATTATATGATTTGGTGTATTTGATAATGGGATGCAAGTTTGTTACCTTTAATATAGGCTGTTACCGAATGCCTGTAAAAGTGATTGAATGTCTTTTGGTTGTGTTGTGAATGTGTGAGTACATTATCTTGATTCTAAGAATTGTATACCCTAGCTCAATCTATTAAACAAAACCATAATACGTTAAAATAGTTTGCTTCTTATGGGATTGGAGCTGTAGATGCTTCCTTCGTAAATTTCTACCTCTATACGATTTGAGGATCAGATTTTTAACTCTGTTCTGTTGGACGTTAACATCTTTCTCTTCAGAAGAAATCGGGAGAATATATCCACATTAGTTACGGATCAATGACGTATGGCTTTGATCTTTGCATTTTCAAGGTGACGGAGTTGAAATTCAAGCAGCTCTGGCCCAGTGGACTGGTCAGCGGACTGTGCCAAATGTTTTCATTGGCGGGAAACACATTGGAGGCTGTGACGGTATGCCCTTTTAAACTCTCGTGCTACCATCTTTCATTTATGTAGGATCGATATTCTTAATACCAGCTGCTCCTTTACTAATTACCGAGTTCTTATATCTTGCAGCTACAACAGCTATGCACAAGGATGGAAAGCTGATTCCTCTGCTAACCGAAGCTGGAGCTGTTGCTAATTCTTCTGCTTAGAAAAGAGTTATGCTTCCTGTTGTCTAGTCTAATACTAGTAAATAAATACCGACCATGGTTTATGTTGATTCTGTCCTTTCAGCTAAATGCTAAATCCTTAATATATCGTAATAATATTGGATTTGAGATATGGTTTCTTCTTTTGAGTTTTTACCAAATTTATGGAAATTTAGAGTTTCAGCATGGATGAAACTTGGCTGAAGTGTTTTTCTGAATCAAATATCATAGAACAAAAACTAAAATTTAAAAAAAGGAACTGAGTTTGGATGACAATAGATAGTAAATAAATAAATAAATATTTGTCATTATGAAATCTGTTTATGTCATATTTAGATAATTATAAACGGATAATTAATGAATTTAATTTAGAGATTTATTATCTGTGACAAATTTGAAAAAGATATGAATGATATCTTCTAAATATTTAATATCTAAATCTATTTAAATTTTAAGAAATTATAATGGATGTTTGAATTCATATATATTATCGAGTTATTTGTTTATATATATAAAATATATAAAATTTTATATTTGAGGAAGATTTTAAACTTTAGCAAATAACCTTTATTTGTTATTGAGATTGAATTTGAATTTTAAACTAAATTTTTATTATTTTATATTTTGATAAAATTTAAATAAATGAATATTTTAACAAGATTTGAATATTTAAATGAATAGTATTTATTTAATGAATTTGGATTTGGAAAATATTATTAAATTTAAACGAATATTTAAATGAATTCGATGTTATGAATATTACACCTGGGTTGTTACTAGAATCTTTCGGTACAAACTTTGAAGGCCGTAATGATAGGTAAATACATCTACTTACAATTGGTTGAATCTGTAAAGCAAAGCCAAAGCCCCAAAATTTCTCCATCCAGCTTTTGACAAATGCAAATCTGACTATGCCTTATCACTTACAATCTATATCAGGGTCTAAAATCAGAAAGAAACCAGTAAATTATACGCATATTTTGCACTATAGAGGCTGCAGCAGACGTCTCTCGAGTTCCTTATTGCTTTTCATGATCTTTTTGCTCAGTGAATCAGCCCCGATGCTTTCTTCTTCTGCTTCTGAAAGTAGCCATCCTTGGTGTGGAACTATCTGTATAAGAGAAAAAGCCTCTCACTTAAGTTTAAACCAAAGAAAAAAAGAACGAAAAGAAAGAAAACTTTCATGCTTTAGGAATAATATGTACCAAAAACAAATCATATATTCAAATTTGGAGATTGAGCCTGATGGGTAAATGGTGATGGAGCCTCTATCCAATGAATAAACCCACCACAAAACTAGACCAAGGTCCAAATCCAGATGGGCCAATGCTAGATGTTGATGGACCCTCTATCATAGTCGAGACGATATATGAAAGCTCATGAAAGAAGATTTACTTTAATCCGTGCTTTGGAGAAGGATGCTTGGTTATTGTCTATAAGAGGCAAGACACTATGAAGGCTGTTAAAGTGTGTGAGAGTTCAGTTCTTCAAAATCGTTTTGGTGTGTTTAAACATTCATATTGGATTGGAACGCCATTTGGTTCCGAAGTGTTTAGCTACAAGGGTGGATTTGTTTACCTATTGTCTCCAATGTTGGAGTCAGATTCTGTATGTAGCCGCTATTAGCTTCACAATTATGCATTCTCTTTCTCCTGAAGGTTCTGAAGGTCCATACATTTCCATCAACAGTCACAGCCCTCCGTTTTGACTGTGGAACATTGATGATACTTGTAATATGGGCATCTAATCTCTACCATCGACCAAAGCGTACTCTTTCACAGGTACTTTGGAATTTTAATCATATATTTTGTTTCCATTCTGCAATAAGTATTTTTTACAAAGCAGTTTTCAGTTTGCAGCAATCATTCCATTGGCTGTGGTCTTGGGAAAGTTAATGCCTCATTCACTCACACAACTAAAGCAATGGAACACTTCTTCAGTCTTATTCTCAGTTCTATTTTTTGTAGATACGAGTTTATGTACTTATTGATATAAATACTGCTTGAAATTAGTCCAAGAAGATGCTTCTGCTGAATGCTTGACCTTTCAATTCTGTTCTGCCCTCTAGCATAAGCTTTCGCAGAAGCGAGGAGATCGACTTGTCAAGCAAAGCTTATTTGCCAAAAATGTAAGAACAGAAAAGTTAATCTATAAAAATACTTAAACAGCAATCTAGGCTAGGGGTAGCTAAAGAATCCAAAACCTGCTCTTAATTTGTCTTTGGTTAAAGTATTTAATTTAAGCTAACTCAGCTCCCATTATTTTGTACTTCATAGGTCTTTTTCCTCCTATGGACTAATTCTACTGGTGATAATATTTAGAATAATTTGCTTGTGACAGGATGGACAAATAGTCAGCCATTCCGGAAATTTCTCTGATTAATGTTCTTTCATCAAGACCTAAGTTGACCGACTGGACAAAGTTATAGGCACATTTGCGAATCATATCATATTTTAGAATTAAGTGCTTTTTTATCTTGTAGTCCTTTGACTCATTTTTCACAATTTTATGTTTACAGTGGCCTGCTTTCTGGATAGTGTCCTCCCTCATTCCAATTGTAGGTAGGGTGGCATTAGCATCATTCACAGAGAAATCTTTTAATCGGTAAGAAACATTATCTGAATCAACTTATTTGAAAGAACTGGAAAATACATGTTTCTACATCTTCGATTATGTTCTATTTAAAAAACAAATATCCTTCTTGAACTTGGTTGATATTGTTTCTTAAACTTGACTATGGTCTTGGTGTTCTGAACAGGATTGGTTTCTGTATCGCAATGGCTTCCAATGTGACTAACCGATGAGTAATGTGCTTACTAAAAAGTTCATGGTTAGAAAGGAGATTAAAAGCACATAACTCAGGTATAAATGTACAATGTTTTTACATTTCAAATGTCCCTGAATCAATCAGCATTGTTTATGACGAAGCTATGATATTTCTCCCCCTGATTTTTCAGAGTGATTTTAATTTTATCCGATTGACTGTCTCTGAATCTATATTTATATCATTGTTTAATTGGGCTTTAATCCTGAAATTTTTAAACAGGACACTTTGGACAACATCAATCTCTTCTCTATAATAACCATTATTTCGATTATCCTATTGGTTCATGCTGCCATTTTATTGGAAGGTGTCAAGTCCACTTCTTCATATCTACAATCTGCTGTAAGTAGCTAACATATCTAGAAAGCAAATGTTGATGTTGGATTAAAGCAATTAGAGCTTGTTATGTCATAAACATGATGCTGTTTTCTTTTCTATTTAATTAAGGTAACCCAAGATTTGAATATTAAAGAGCTATGCATAAGATCTATTGTGGCTGGATTCTGCTTCCACAGTTATCAACAGGTAATCCTATTCTATGATACTCGGACTTGATGGTGAATCTTCGGATCTGGCTGTATGTCCAACATAAGTATGTTTATTTTTTTCTATGTTTTTTTCATATATTTGGAGTGTTGGACCTCGTATCCATGTCTATCGGATATATGTCCAACACGTTTGTTTCAAGAAAAATGAAGAGTCAGAGCAAATGTAGAACCTGTTTGTGTCGTAATTTGATTCTGTATCCTAAAATTATGGAGTTCCTTAGTTTTCAGAGTTTTTACAGCAGTAGGGAGTGCCTTATTTCTGGTCCTCTAATCAATGTCAAAAAGCTACGTTTTTGGTTTGGCAGGTTTCTTACTTGAACTGCAGACGTACTTGTTTCACCCATTAACTCCCTTGATAAATTGTTCATACCTATTGTTAAAACATGGGAAATTCTTTCTTGATCATTAGCTTTTACATACACTAATCAAATGAACATAAAATTTCTCTTGTTATTCTATTTATATATAACTGTGATGGTTTCGACCACAGGTACTGCCGTGCCTCTTGTTGGAGTCTTCTTGCATTTGAAAGCAAAGTGAATGAAGCCAAAGCTGAAGGTTGAATGATCAGTTGTATCAAATTGTGATGATGACTTCAACACTGTAGAATGTTCCCTATTGCCTACTTCTCTTGCTTCTAATTTTTGAAAGAGAAACTTCTCAAATGTTTGGACTGTTTTTGTTACACTTGATCATGAGTAACAACTGGTATGTCAATCGAAACACAATGATGTCAAAGAAAGCTAAATTCAAGTTTTGTTGGACTGTTATGATTGGTGGGTCTTAGTCAGGTACGTCCATCATGTGTCTTTGTATAAAAAAATGTACAAAAATAAATCCTGCTATTGAGGTTGAGGGTTGAAATAAGAAAATAGACTTATTTGTTGCTAGTACAATGATAACTGAAGGTGTTATTGCTCATGAATATTCAATTAAAATTATCAAGGATGTTAAATTTAAAATTTTTCATCCCTATCTAAATATTTATTTTAAATTCATTTATAACAATGCTTGTAAGTTTGAATATAATTTGAAATTAAAAAAGAAAATAAAAGAGAAAGTTAAATCTAGTACGAAAAACTTTCAAATAGAATTTGTTTGGCTGCTGAAATATGAACATCATACACTAAGCATTTCGATCATGTTTAATGTATAAGATAATAGATAAAATAATAATCATTTTATATTATATTTAGTTTATATTTAAATTACAAGAAAAATTAATTCTCTTGGAATAGAATAATTCAATTCTCTTAAAGTGAAGATGATTATTTTTAATCTATAGAATTGAATTACATGTCCTATTATATCTTTAAAAATTATATCGATCATTTAAATATATAAATTTTGAGGAAGGATAATTTTGATCTATAAAAAAATTATAGATTCTGAAAAAAAATGTGATCCCCGAAAAAATACGATACCTGGTGTTTTCTTTCATTTTTAGGGCATTCAGTGTTTAGATTTACTCGTTTAGTTGAAAAATTTCATATATATAAATATTGAATAATTAATATAATCTCCTTGGCATATACGATGGTAACTTTAAATAATTCAAATTTTAAGTAATGTGGATTATTCAAGGCATTTTGACCAAAAAATGTCTTGAATAATCTTTAGAAAATCTTGGTATATAGTTTTTTAAGGTATTTGTGGCAAAAAGACTTCAATAATCCTTAAAATTTTTTATAGGAGATATTTAAGGTATTTTTTTTGTAAAAAATGCCTTTAGTAATCCTTCATTTTTTATGAAGGGATTATTAAAGGCGTTTTAACCTAGAAAATGCCTTTAATAAGTTCTTTACAAAAAATTGAATAGA